TCTGCCATGCCCCCAGTTTTGCACACCATTAAAAATGTATATGCCAAAAATGACTGATAAAACCTAGAATTGTTTTTTGTTCACCGTTACTTTTGCTTTATACTGGCTTTGCAAAATATTAGACAGGAAAAAGGTTTTAGTGCAGAATAACACTTTAAAGGTTAAATAGAATCTTTTCATAGAAACAGTATCTGAAGATCAGGCCAAAAAGAGGGACAACTGAGGTGGAAAGAGGAACAGAGGGATTTGTTTCCAAATGAGGGACAGTTGAGAGGTATGCATATTTAATCCAGCTAAATATTAATTATGTATTATTCACTTATAGCCCTAGTTCTACCATATAGTTTAATTATACAAATGTTATACAATATATTCTCATAATGATGACATTATTGCCTGCAGAGTAATATATAGTAAAGTATGTGTTACTAGGGTGTAATACTGAATAACATGAATTAATAATATCAAACGAGAGCAAATCCTTGTGAAACTGAAACAATAATATATATAGTATATTATTTTAATATCAAAATTTCACCTGTGTAAATACATTCACATACCTGTGTGAAAGGTAGTGACAGGACTATTGTCACTGCTACACATCTTTCCCACTGCGACAACCGTAGTGTCATACACAAGACCACAGGAGAGCTGTGTAAAGCTGCATGATGAATTGACTGTACTACAGTGATGATACCCTCCATTAGACCCAATGACCTCTGCTGTGTAATTTTCAGCTCCCAAGGATGAGACCCAGGACAGAGTTGCAATGTTAGACTCACATTCGACATATGCTTGTAGCTCAGTGGGCACACAGGGCACTGTAATAAAAGTCTGATATTAGATTTATTGTACTGGACTTATTTCACAAATGACATCACTAACAGCTATTGTTAAAGGTAATGCAATCTTACCTGGTTTCTTTTTACACCCCAATACTACATTAGTGACAATGCACTTCTATAAATAAACTGGCTGCTAGTTTATTTTATTTATTTGTTATAGGTATTTATATAGCTTTGATGTTTTACATATTGCACATTTACATCAGTCCCTACTCATAAGGAGCTTACAATCTAAGGTCCCTATCACACATGCACCTATTCACATACTAGGACCAATTTAGACAAGTTGTCTACCAGCATGTCTTCTGAGTGTAGGGAGAACAGGAGTACCAGCAAACTGCATGCATATAGTGTCCTGGTTGGGATTCAAATCAAGAAGTTTAAAAGTAATCTGAAGCCAAGATTGGATAAAGCTTGGAAGTGTTAAGGGCAAAGGCCTTTTTTTAATTTTTTGTTTATATGTTATAATCCACATTTTAGGCCTGAAAATTACCTAAAACCCCCAAACATTATATATTTTCTGAAAGCCAAGACCCTATAGAATAAAACTTTATGTTGCACGACATTAGCGCAACTTATCATCAAACCTCAAAATTTTGTGAAAAATGCACTTAAGTTAAATTTAGTGCCCCAAAACACAATATAAAACCATTTTTTTGTAAAATATAAAAGATTAGGTTACAACGAGTAAATAGGTACCCAACATGCCCAGGTTAAAAACTGTGTGTGTCCGTGAAACTGCAACAGAATTCAGTATCCCAAAAAGTCCATAGACGACGCTTTAAAACCCCATACAGGTCATTAGTTTAGCGATACACATACATTGTAGCACTAGAATGATTGCTCTAACTCTGTCATGTGCACCGATACCCAACACGTGTAGCGCAATCGTCGTTTTCATACGTAGGTGCACCCGACGCATGTTTACGTGATGGCGCACATTCGGCGGAGGACTTAAAAAAAGGTTTTCAATTATTTTTACATTTAATTTATTTGATATTATTTTAAAAACTTTTTTTAAACTTTACTTTAATTGCTATCACATAGGGGGGCTTACAAGCCACCCATGTGATAGCATATTGGTGGTGACAGGTCCTCTTTAAGGGGATACTGGGGGTCTAAAAGACCCCTAGTGTCACCTTTACACTCTAAATAAGCTATTGAAGTGGAGATCGCTTATAGCTGGGCTTCAGGAGCCCATCAACGACAGCTATGGGACCGGAAGTAATGCAACACACGTCGCTCCTGGTCCTATAGAACGGGGAGGAGATTGGTGAACGGATGTTGGCAGCTTTCCGCCCCAGCTTCGCAGTGACACCTAAGACAATGGTCCCGGGCCGTGGGGGGCAGCAGAGCCCAGGAAACACGGTGGGGGTGTCAGGCGGAAGGGGGGAGGGGGGGTCCCTTTTACCGGATTGTAGAAGCGATCTGGCGGCAACTGAGGCGCCAGAATCACTTCTACTGTAAAACTGGCCGCCAGCTCTTCAATTATGAACAGTCTGTTCAACCCCCTCAAAATTCACCACGGGATTATCCACTCATGGGTCGAGAAGGGGTTAAACCCCCTGTTAGGTCTTTATTGTTGTGATGAGAGAAAAAGAGAGCTCTAGGATGATAATTGAAAGGCCAATTGTATTTATTATAACTAGCCAGCAGATTTCAGGGGTCTTGACAGACTCCAAAAGGGCTTACAAATAAACCAAAATAGGATAACAATGAATAGCCCAATTAAAGAAAAAATAACAAAAACAGCTTTTGCTCTAATATTCCCCTTCAATTCGGACATTTCGTTTGCAGTATATTTTTCTGCTGCTAGATGTACTCTTATATTCTTATATTCAGCATCATTCAACCCACTTCCTCCTTTCCCAGTCTGTTACTGGATAGTGAAAGGGAAAGCAGCACAGTGATGAGCTTGCTCATCTCTCTGTCACTCTGCTCTCCTCCTATCAGCATTCTTCTTGTCAGCACATGAACTGATTGGCTCCTCATGCTGCTACTTTCACTCACACACTTGCCTTGATATACAGGGATTGCAAGAGTCCGATACCAGCTCAAATTCAGGGACATACACTGCTTTCATTTAAAAAATACATTCAATCATTTTTTAAGGATTACTGAGCTGCGTTAATATCTACATAGAGTTCATCTGTAAAACTACTAATAGGAGAGAATATTCCGACTGTGACAAGACTGCTCATAGGGAAATTTACAGCTGTGCTATGATCGCTCCTCTTATTTATACGGATTTATTTATAAACTGTCTGCAGGGCCCTTTACCCTGCAAATATCTGTGAAAATTCATTCTGTGCAGATATATGGCAAAACAAATGTTCCTTTTAACAGGGTTATTCACGAAAGAGTGAAGAGTTTGGAGAAGGCAGGAGACGTGAACAATCTAGGCCAAAGTAGCTGATTTGGAAAAGTTCTCCAATTCATCTCACTTTCCAGGTCAGCTAGATTGTTCACTTCTCCTGCCTTCTCTAAACTCTTCACCCTTTTGCGAATATTCCTGTAAATCTTTTCTCGTGTAATATCCCATTATGGCCACTAGATGGTGCTCAAAAGCAAAGAAAACAAATACAGGTGAAACTCGAATAATTAGAATATCGTGCAAAAGTAATTGCAGTAAGTGCTGCAAAAGGGGCCCAAACCAAGTACTGAGTACATATGCATGCTTGTACTTTTCAGAGGTCCGATATTGTTCTATGTACAATCCTTGTTTTATTGATTGCATGTAATAATCTACTTTTTTGAGGTTGTGGATTTGGGGTTCTTGGGGTTTTCATGAGCTGTAAGCCATAATCATCACAATGATGACAAATCACGGCTTGAATTATCTTGCTTTGCATGTAATGAGTCTATCATATATTAGTTTCACATTTTAAGTTGCATTAGTGAAATAAATGAACTTTGCACGATATTCTAATTATTCGAGTTTCACATGTACTTATTGCCTAGGGCTAGGCTCTTTTAGCTCCATCCAATGGCCATAATGCAATATTACAATTGAAAATGTATTTTATTGTAAAAACAAAACATCCGTGATGACATATATTCACACAGAGTGAATATGTTCACAGATATTTGCAGGGTGAATTGCCATGTCAATTGTTTATAAATATACCCCACAGACTACCACTGTGAGATAGAAGTTTGTGGGGATCCAGTGCTTATAATCACTCCAGCTGCCATAGGTTTTTATGGCTGTCTGTGTCCTTCCTGTGGAGTTTATTTTATTACTTAGCTGCATTCAAGTGGAACTTCTCTCAGAATATGTACTTTACATCATTGCAACACTCCCCCTTTGCAATGTAAAATGCCAACTTTTTTGTTTTATTTGTTTATTCACCTTTTTTTTAATTCATACTTCAGCCCACCCCCCTACCTCCATTCTCACTAAGGGTTGCTGGAGGAAGGCGGACTTGTGCACGTCAGGGGGGCAGCTGCAAAAGCCATGAAGAGACACCTGGCTCCTGATGAAGTAAGGAAGATGGTGAAACATAACCCAGATTACTGGATTTGCTGGGCAAGTGAAAAAGTTTATTGTGCATACCACGGCTAAAAAGGTAAGGGGAACTCTAAAAGAAAACAGTTCCTTTTTAAAGTCCTGAGTTTGCACACCTGCTGTGGCCATTGCAATGAAGGTACCGCCTATCCCTGATAGATTTCCTTTCATTTTATACTATAGAGAATACAACAAGAGAGTATGGAACAACAAACATAACTCCCAGATGTATAGGAAAAGAGTTAGGAATTATACTGCATTGTTGGAGTACTCAGGAGGACATATAAAAAACTAAGGCTAACTCAGCCCACCAGGCTCCATCTATATGCATCACTCTTTCAATGGACTGACGCTTTCTTAAGGTTGGTCACAAAAAGGAGGAGACTGAAAAAAGGGATATCATCATTCAGGTGAGCTTCAAACTGTTACAAACACCACATTTATCCTTTTGTAAAACTATGCCAGGTTGTGAAACTAAAACCAACCCCAAGGAATTTAAATAATTTCCTTTAACCATTTAATAATTTCCTTTAACCATTTATCTTGAATATTTCACATCAACATATGCAAAACTGCCGCATTTAATGAAGTAGATGGCCTCAGATTTATCTAGGTCCACAATCAATCTATATGAGTAAAATGTAGATCTAGTTACCTGTGTAAAGCTCAGTTTCAGAGCTTGGTATACTCTGACAGTCATTGTTGAACGCTGTCACTGTCACATTGTAGCTTTGTCCACAATGTAATCCAGAGATTCCACAGGATGGTCCAGTACTATTACACACAAGCTGCTCCTCACCAAATCCCGTTAGAGTGGCCATGTACCTCAGAGCTCCAGGAGCTTCATTCCAGCTCAGAAGTGTTGAAGAATTATAACATTTCATTTCTGCCATCACATTTTGAGGCTGACAGGGAACTGTAATGATAACTAGTGTTACGCATACAATGTATTTATCAGTGCAGTAATACTACAACAAAAACAAGCAACTTAAATGTTACCGGTTGTAAGCATAGATGGAGTGGATATAGGACCCAAGCATTGACTATTATTGGCTGTAACTGTCACGCTGTAGATCTGTCCACACTTCAGGTCTCTAATTGTGCACTCGGTGTCCAGTGTGGTGCAGGAGAGAGTCTCCACCGTTGGACTGGTGATACTTGAGGTATAATTGACTGCACCTAATGTTTTGTCCCAGGACAATGAAACAGAGTTGTCATAACAGTTGATGTGCAATGGTTTCAGCACTGGAACACAGGGAGCTGTAAAGGCAAAACATTGCAATGGAATTATTCAATGGTCTATGGAACTACATATAACTGCTAATAGACTTTAATCTTGAGGTCTAGTTTCTGTATACTTAGCCTAGCCATTCGCTGCTCAATTCATTGAGTCTTGTGTGGCCCAGCTGGCACCACCCGGTTCGCCAAAAGTTGATTGTTCAATCTATTTTTGTTGAGGGAGCCGTATAGTAAATTGTATTCTGAACAGCTGCGTGCTGTCAGAATGACATATATCACATATACTATATACTATTGAAAGTCTAAGATTATGTTTTTCTGCCTGGAGTACTACTGCTTTAATTTGCTAAATATACTGTATTTTACATTTTCAAAGGACTAAGGGTCCAATAGACCAGAACAGTTTCTTTAGAGGCATTATCAAAAAGTAGACTTGGACAAAAGCCCATTAGTACAATAAGAAGTTATAGACACTAATGGCAATTCAAATGTGTCCTATGTAAAGCCTGCATAACGCACATGTGTGTCTATGGAAAATTGTTAACTATCAGGAAAAGGTAGTGTAAATAAAGGCAGTGAAAGTAATGAACAAATAAAGGCATATTAGACTCCTTCATGTTGCTGTTTGGCGCCTATATGAATGTTTATATGTTAAATATCATTACCTGGACTGTGATCCCACCCTTTGCCTTGGCTGTGTGTCAGATATAACACTGGGGCCAGACTCACTAAGGTCGCAGAGCCATTATCAGTTAACTAATATATTCATTTATGCACATTGGAAGAAGAGAGGAAATGTTCAAAAATAGGTTACTGTATATATTGAGCTTGGTTCACTTTAAGGGTACCAGCCAGTCAAAGTAAGCATTGAAATGTTTACAAGAATACAGGCTACCTGCTCATAATTTACAGTAAACCCATACCGACATTGCTCCACCAAATGCCATCTCCCTATCCAATGAGAGTGTCCGTATCGGCAACCAGTACTGTAGGATTTTTTTAAAACTACATTTAAAATGAAACACAAGTTTGCTTTAAGTTTATTAGAAATAAAGTACTTTTTTGTTTAAATTCCATGGACTTACCTGTTGTGAAAGCTACAGGGAGACTTGGCCTGCTGCCGCTCATTTCATTAATTGCTTTGACAATTACTTCATAAGATATTCCGCATGTTAAGTTAGTAAATTGACATGATGTAGCCGTGGAGTTACAAATAAGGTATTCTCCATTTGTTCCAACAGCTACAGAGGTGTAAGTCTTAGCTCCCAGACTAGAATTCCATGAAACCGTTGCGGAATTGGCCACACAATCCACATGTATGAGTATATTTTGGAGTGTACAGGGAGCTGTGAAAAAATATAAAGATGCCATATGGGTTATATTTTCAACAATCTAATATTTCTCATGATATAACCCAATTCTTGAGTAGGATGAATATTCTCTTCTGAGTTCAACCAGAGGCACAACTGTGGGGCCCATACAAAAGTTTCTAAAGACCTTCTTTTGTCTAAAGTTCAAAAGACATTGGGGGGAATTTATAAAACTGGAGCAAACAGAATCTGGAGCAGTTGCCGATGGCAACCAATCAGCATCTCTCTTCAGTTTGTTCAGGTAAGATTTGAAAATGAGAGAGAGAAGCTGATTGGCTGCAGTACAAATCTGCTCCACATTTTGTTTGCTCCAGTTTTGATAAATTCCCATTGTATTGGAAAACATATGACATGCATAAAAATAATGTATGTGTGTTGGCTTATAAGAAATACATTTAAGTAATACATTTAAAAAGAATACTTCTGTAAAAGCCTACTATAGGCTTTATTAGTACGATAACACAGTAAAAAAAAAGGCATGTGAATGAGAGAAATGTTGGTTTATTCAGTGCAGAATACAATTGTTGTCCAGCTGTCATAGTGTCTGTGATAAAAAACTCTTTACTGACCCACAACAGCAATCAGATTTAAACCTACCCTAAAAAGCAAGGTTTGGATAATGAAGTTTAAATTTGGTCTTAGTGGGGCAGTAAAGATAATACCAAATTTTTTACTTTGACAAATGAGGCCAGATTTGGGTACTCTCTAATGAATGCATTCAATAAAAGAGCACAAGGAGCAAAACAAGCAAGTCATGTAAGCATAGCAACCAATTAAAATACACTGTGTACTAATCTAGCTTTAATAAAGTGTCTGCAGTTTGTTATTTACTCTGTGCACAGTTTACTGAATAATATATGTGAAGTATGGTAAGTAGAAGTTATTTATGAACTCATGGCTCTGGGTTGCACCTTCTGACCAATTTACCACCAATGTTGTGAAGTCTGTTCCTTACCTGTTTTAAATTCATATGCATGATTGACTGTACTACTGAATTCTTCTCCATTGGCTGTCACTAACGCAGAGTAATTGCAACCACACATCAGATTGGTCATTGCACATGAAGTATTTGTTGAATGACATGTGTAGGTCTCTCCATCAACTCCAGTTACCTCTGTGGTATAGTTTACAGCACCAGGCGCTTCTCCCCAGGAGAGGACTAACAGATCAGAAGTAACATGGACTTCCAGATTTACTGGAGAACATGGGACTGAAATATAAGGGGGCAAAAAATAAATCATTATCAGCTGTATCATACTAAATAGTGTAAAATGTGATAACATGTTATTTTGCTTTATAACAACTAGGGATGCACAGATACTTTTCGAGTACCAGTGCAGATACTTGGCATTTTCATGAGAACTACCAGGATTGCAGAGGTTGCAGCTGAGACCTGGCTCTGGCACTCCACCACTGTCCTGAAATCATTAGACTGTATTGTTTTAGAAAAACTGTCACATGACAATAAACAAAAATGTATCAGTACTCGTACTTGTAAGTACTCGGCAAGTACCAGTACTCGTACTCACAAAACTGATATCTGTGCATCCCTTTATTTATATTTATAAAAACTAAATCTTACATTAAAACAGACATGTACAAATCCCAGGAGCTCCGTGTGCTCCTTACAAATGACAGCTGCCTCCTAAGTTTTGAATTTTTCTCTAGTGTAGTCTTGGAGCTCAAAAGTATCGGTACATGTACTCGTACTTGTACCGAGTACTGTACTTGGTATCTGTGCAACCCTAATAACAACTAGATGTGAAGCCACCCTGCCCTAAGCAGGAGTGACTTTTTTTAATGTAGTTCTGCTAGAAGGTAACCAGCCTAAGCTCAGATTCTGCTTTCGTTGGTTTGTCCTGAAGCTCAGTTCTACAGTCTGCTTCTGTCTGCTGCCTGGGCAATATGCCTGGCATAAGTTTGGGAAGATACAATAACCTGAGTTATGAATATTTGTATCCCCCGGCCAACCACTAGGAGGATTATTGTCAGTGGTGCAGGCTGGGAAAGGATATAAATATTTAAGACAACCTTCTGAAAGTCTCTTTCCTCCCAGGCTTTGCCTGAGGAGGAGGTGTGTGCTGCTCTTCCTGACCTTGCAGGCTTGCTGTTTGGGGAGGACACATTTGCTAGTTAAAGATGAGGCCAGGACCTGAAACTTGCACTGACTGTCTGATGGTTTTGCCCAGAAGGAGCGAAACTGAACCTTAGACTGGATTAGCAGAGAGTAAATTTTGTTGCATGAGGAAAGTCCAGATAAGCTGTGTAGAAGCTTGGACCTTGCAAGAAGTCTGGTGGACCATCCAGTAAGATAAGTGCTACTGCTGCTGTTTAGTCCATCCTAACGAGTTCTAGTCTCGGCTTGAAGGTTTTCCTTTGAATGACAAGGAGCAGTATTCAGGTTCTGTGATCTATGCTGTATTTATGGGGTATTTTGTGACACCCCCCACCTCCCAACCCTCTCTCGTTAGAGATTTGCTGGTCCTTTAATAACTTTATCAATGTTCAAAAGTGTCTGGCACTCAACTGTTTACATCCTCACTACACATCAAGACGTCTACCCTGAGGTGCAATGTCCACCCACCTGACCTCTAGGGGTTCCTAATAGCCTTTAGGGGCTAAGGAGGTGCTACAGATGTATTTAGGATCATTAATGTCCTACGGCCAATGTAGTTCAAAGTGTACAGTAACTTGTTTTCTTTTAGTTTTGAATAGCTTAGAGAAAGGGAAAAATCCCGTATCAGTTTATTTGTTTTCTATCTTTGTCCCATTGGGGAGATTTACACTCACTCCCTGTCCTGGAGACACACCAGCAAGTGACAGAAATATTCTCGAAAGATAGGCGAATACCATTCACAGTTGTCACCAGGCCAAATATCGAGGGTAAATCTCCCCAGCAGGAACAACAGCAGCAATAACAAATCTAAGGGGGTTCTATCCACTCATCACTCTATCCAAGATGAGGAAAAAAAATATGTTTTTGGCATACATACACTTTAATTAAATATGTTCCTAGGTTATTACTGAGAGTCCATCAAGGACTGGCAGTTCATTAGTGTTACCTAAATTGGGAAATTAGCAGAATAGTATTGTCCCAATATAAATTTATGGTAATAATTTATAGGTTATTCAGTTGCTCTTTGAGCTTATCCAAGTTATAGATCCTCCTGGACAACAGGCATCTAATATATAATATATATGTAACTCCTGCGATGGAGCAAATGTTATTTTCATTCCTCAAGTAAGCATAATCTCCTTCATAAGATACATTTACTGTACTTAAAAGATCATTAATGTACAGATATAACACATCTATAGTAATGTAATAGTTATACTGACTATACACTTGGCAACTTTGGAAGCTTTCTATCAATGTTTCACTGGAAACAGAATTGCATTAGAAATAAATGGTTCTCAGAAATCTACCACCTGCAGTTTTGATTGCTCAATTGTGAACACGGGTATAAATCAAATTAAACTGCAATCCCATATAACAGTTTTTAAATTGGGAAACAAATGAAATAAGTGGTGGATGCTTGAAAGCTGATGAAAAGCTTATAGAATTTTGCTTATCTATGGCCTAATCTTGTTATCTTACCTGATTTGAAAACAGTAGCAGTGCTTTCACCACTGCTGCACATGCTGTTGTACGCAGTGACCACTGTGGTGTACACCTCTCCGCATGTCAGCTCTTCTACCTGACATGATGTATTCTGACTGCTGCAGTTATGCCTCTCTCCATGGAAGCTGATCAGTGACGATGTATAAGTAAGGGCTCCAGGGGAATAATTCCAGGATAAGAGCACTGAGTTTTCTGTACTATTAACAGAGGTCTTTACATCCAAGGGAACACAAGGGGCTGGTGACCAAAGTAATAAAAGATAAAAGTATTATGCTAATGTGTTACTTTCTGGGCATCAAAAGATAACACTAGGTACATATTGTACATATAGTGGATGCATCCACTGGAGGCATATAACAGATGACATAATTGCAAAGTAAGATGCTGGTAATCAGTATAACCTTAAAGAACCCAGGCTCAATTTTCTGTCCTTGAAAAATAAAATAGCCTGACTCCCTTTGTCTTCCTTCATGTATATTTACTCCTTATTTTCTTCTGTAATTATGTCACTACACACTCATCTTGACACAAAATATAAACTATCAATACAAACCCTAACCCACCTGTGATTGTAACAATATGCATAATTCACAGGTATCCTTGTTGATTTATATATATCTATATCTATAGATAGATATAGATATATATATATATACACTGAGTGGCCAGATTATTATGACCACCTCATCAGCACTTCGTTGAGCCACGAGATGACTCCACGAGATGTTGAAAGGTGATGCGAGGAATCTGACATTGCACTGTTGCCCTTCTGTTGTCTTGTACCAGTCTTGCCACTCTCCGTTCTGCCCTAACATTGACTAGTCGCTGACGGCCACCATTCGCAACAATGTTGACTAATAGGAAGATCCAATGGAGGAGAAACTCTCATACACAATATTGATTTTCCTTTTATATGCCCCAATACATATGCACACTATCATTATTCCCCGATCACAATATTTAATTGTGTAGTCAATATTGTGCATTGAAATGTCTATCTTTGCCTGTGTTCTTGACCCATCCCAGTGTTTATGTAAACCTCTCGTATTAAACCAAAACAATCTTTGTAAAAAGAAAAACTATTAGCAATATTACTTTATAGCCAGGGAAGGTGTATCTGTCAACTTCTGTCAACATTTAGGGCAGTCAACATTTAGGGCAATACCTGCAAACTTTATTTAATTACACATACCAGAGTAGATCTTTACAGTTTGGCTCAATGGTCCTTCGCATTGTTTGTTAACAGCATACACAAAACCATCATATTCATTTCCACATGTTAGGCCAGGAAAGGTACAATTCATTTCTGTGGTTTTACATGTTTTATTGACACCATCAGAACCCATGAGATATGATGTAAAACCTTCAATATCAGCCATTGCCGACCAAGACAAAGCTACAGATCCAGCTTCACAGTTTATTTCTCTCAGGACATTCACAGGTATACATGGGGCTGAGGACAGACAAACAAATAAATTTGTAAAAATTTATGAAAATGTAGCATCCCCAGCTAGTTCCCTATGACCTCTTGTCTAAATCTTGAATAATCCTTAGCATGCTGCACAAAGCATAGTTATGTAAAAATATTTTTGCTGACCTCGTTTTTTGTAGACTAGATTCCAACTAGTTGTAGATGTGCAAGTACAGGCTGATATTCAGAAACCCATCCTTTGTTATAAGGGTGGCTCTTTGGCTTTTGAGGATGAAGTTCCAAAATGATAGTGGCAATGATGGAATGATCAGGGAGTAAGTTCCTAGGTGAGTTATTCTACACAGCAGAGGGTCAGGGACCGGAAGAGTGGGCCCAAATCTTTTCAGCGCATAACAAAAAGCACCTGTTGCACAGCAAAGGTTTTCTCATCCTGGTAAATTTGCTAAAGGCTATCTCAATTTCACTATAAGTTTTTCTTCTGTTAAACTGATTTCCATACATGTGGCTGTCTATATAGATCATTATGCTGCTATGGTTGCCTGCAGCCTGTAAAAAGAAGTCACCACAAAATCGGGTATCTTTCATCTCTGAAATATCACCGAAAGAGGGTTGATGACCAAAAGTACCTATGAAGGCAGACAGTGTCTAACCTCACCTATGTGTGTATTAAACCTTTAGCAATAATAATACAAAGAAGAGAGGCAGTTGTATAGGAATGAGGAGTGGGGGTTACAGCATACCCTACATTTCCACTGTTGAAAGCATTAAAGGAGATCTATGAGGTGAGTGATTTTCAGGTGGAGATTTACTCCTAGTTTGCCCTGGTAACCGCTATCTACTGTCACTGACTAAATCTGAGTTGTCATGGGAATAAGAATAGAAGGAAAATCATCCAATGGGGATGCTTTTTCCAGTAACAACTATGGAGAGATTTCAGGTCACTTCCTGTAGTATACACTGGAGTAGAAGTGAAGAGAAATATCACCAGTGGAACAGTATAAAAAAAGTTTAGGATTTAGATATGCTTTAAATGATGACAAGTAACAGGTGAGAAATAATGCTAAATAATGAATATTAGACAACTTGTAAGTAAGAAGTTCTTGGATTTGGGCAAATGAATGAGGTGTTCTTAGAGGTAAACTATCTTTCCATAGTTTGGTAGATAGAGAAAGGCTAATATGACTCAAATTAGAAGTATTTACTATCCTCAAGGTAATGCCAAGGTAAAAATGTAAGGTATGTTTTCCTAATGAGGGGTCAGGATCAGCAATAAGAAAGAGTGGAAGAAAAATAACTGGAATCTATGCATGTATGACCCTAATTAGGATATGCTACATACTGAGATTTTTTGCTTAGGTGTCAAAAAGGTTCCTTGTTATTTACGAATTAAACCTACATCCATCTAGTCTACATTTTGGACCTTCAGGGCCGAGTGCTTCTTCCAGGCATGTGTTATAAATTGTTTAGCTGTCATAAAAGCAAACAGCATTCACTTTCAATGATTCGCTTTTAAGAGTTATCTATCTGGAAGCAAATCCCCATCTGTTAACTTAGAAGCAGGTTTTAGGGTAAGAAGGGACTCCATAAGCTATGCATATAGACACTAAGTACCAAAGCATTAGTACTTTTTAAGCTGAATCTAGGTTAAAACACTTGAACACTTAGCTGTCGGGAACCAAGTCAGCTACCATTCTGCTCCTATTTTGTCTACTAAGCTAGAATTGGTGGTTAAAAATAGAAAGTATATCAATCCAGGCTCAGTTGGTAAACAATAAACATGACCTTTCAAAACTGGGTAAAAGGTTGAGGTGGTGTTGATTGACTTAGAAATCAAGTTTGGATTAGATTATGTAATATCATACTGTAAATAGAATATAAAACTAAGGCATTTTATCCATCTTGATGAAATGGAAAACCATGTTTTGAATTATATGAAAAAATGTAAGATGGAACTCCCCATAAAGTAACACTAAAGTCAAATTGTAAACCTTAAGAATGCATTCAAGTACCCTAGTTATTAAAACTATGTAGGTTATCTGTGTATCACTCGGCTGTAGATCCTCAAATCATGTCTGAATTCGTGCTGACACTGATCCCTGTGTGTGTTGTAAAGTAGCCACTGCTCAAAGCTCACTCCCATGAAGGACCACAATCTCCATACAAATTATTAAACTAAACATAAGATTGTAGTCCATCACGGATGCAAGCTTGGAGCGCTGGCTACTTTATAACACACACAAGGACCATGGGGAACAAAAGTAGCCCCCCTCCAGAAGGAAAGACAGTGTCAGCACCAATTCAGAGATGATTTGAAGATCTACAGCCAAGTGATACACAAGTAAGTTACAGTATTATTAATAGTTAAGGGACTTTAATGCACTTTTAAGGTTTAACTGCTGAGTTTAGTGTCACTTAAGTAAAAAGTCATGAAGCAGAAAGGTCATCATAATTATATTGATTCAAGATACTATATATTGTAGTGTTTCCATGACTCCATCATGCATGTTAAAGTGCAGGGTATGTGTGTGGGTGGGTGTTTGTGTGTGGGGGGGATTTTCAGACAACAGAATATTATATGATGAGGTATGTGGACAACAATATAATTAAAAAAAATAAAGACCATTTGAAATTAAAATTGTTTTCTAAGCTAACATTTTTAAACCCATTGGGAACACTCACATATAGGAAAAGTGGGCCAGTAAATAAGGGATATCAGGGACAGTCCCGGAAACATATTCTTAAACTTTTAAATTCTTTGACACTCATAAAGCACATACAAATAATGACTACATTCTAAGTGCCTTATTTATTTAAGTATAAATATTTGTACCTGTGATAAATTCTGTGGGGTCACTGGGTTGTCCTTGACATTGGCCATTGTATGCTGTGACAGTAAGGTGGTAGGTGAGGCCACAGTTCAAATGTGTGATGTCACAAGAAGTGGATGTTGTGTGACAAGTGTGTTCTCCATCTGGTCCCACCACCATGGCTGTGTAATTAGAAGCCCCGGGTGTTTTGTTCCAGGTCAGAGCAGCTTCATTAGCATGGCAGTCAACATGTGCAGTGACATTCTGTGGTATACATGGCGCTTAAGAATAAATTATTTTAAAATTAGTGCACAATAAATTAACTATTTGTAGAGGAATAACAATACAGTGTTAAGTCCTAATGTACATTGCAGTAAGGCATCCTCAAAAGATTGCATTATTTAACACAACAAAGTGACGCCATTGCACAAATTACGGAGGCCCTATATAGTATCTCCAAATTTTTATGTTAGGGGAAAAAAACTGAACACACTTTCAAAGAAATTATAGTATAATACAAAGTAGTGATATCTGAGGAAATGGGATTGCTTTGACTTAAAAATTACCTGTGTGAAAATATTCTGAAGAGCTGGCTATGCTGCTAGAACTTAAGCCAAACGTTTCCACAGTCAAGCTATATATCTGACCACATTGTAATGTATCCAGTGTACAGCTGAGTCCTAATGAGCTGCATTCCCTCCTTTGCCCATCTTCTGCAGTGATCGTAGCTGTATATGTGATTGCCCCAAGGGCTGCTTCCCAATCAATGACTGCAAATGCCATATTGCAATCGAAGACCATTTTAAGATTTGTTGCTTTACAAGGAGCTAAAAAAAAAATAAGCATTAGTTATATGTTATTGTCAAACACAAAAGAACAAAAGAAATAGAACCAGCCCACACCCAATAATGATCATCTGAACCCTCCAAGTAATCAGGAGCCATCTTGCCCGCTGTTAAAATATTGTAGAAAACAAATGTCACGGCCCACATGCTGATGTCTACATTCACTCAAATGTAGACATCAAGGATGTTTTCTGGAACAATGAAAGGTTGTGCAAGTTGGTGACATGCAAGTTAAATCTGGACTCAAAGCAAAAAGCTAAGTGCACAGAGGAACTACATAAAAATAGCTCTTTTACCTGCCATAGGGTTAATATATCTGTCAATGAATAGATAGTCCAGCCCTATCTGACAGGGCAGAAGACCTGTTTTCCACACCTACAGGTCATGTCCCTCCCCAGCCTGTGGGTGCAGATGACATCACTGATACAAGTGTTTCCTGCAGCAACAACCGTAGCATTATATATTCCACCACAAGAGAGTTGGGGGAAACTGCATGATGTGTTGCTTGTTTGGCAATAATACTCCCCTTGAGACCCTGTGGCAGTTACTGTATAATTCACGGCTCCTGGTGTTTCGGCCCACATTACAGTTACCACACTAGACTCATAATTAATATCAGACCACACTGCATGTGGTACACAGGGAACTGCAAAAGAACCATATTTGATAGTTACAACAGTATCATGCTAGTCCCATTAGAAGATAGTCACAATGCTAGATATTATGTAGATTTTCACATCTGCAGCCTATTAAGCTTTTACATATGATGGCTTTGCAACCACATAAAGCATGCAATTCCACTCAATTACTCAGATTAATAGAAGGAATATTATATATATCCATGGGGAAGAGAAACAAGGTACAAATTCATATTTATTCACAGACTTTTCAGTTTTTAAAACCTGCAGAAGTGAACGTTAGACATGTATATTTCATTTAATTCTGAATGTCATTAAATTCGGCCATTCGGATGCATCAGAATGTCCGAATACGAATGCATCTAAATGCAAACAATTTTGAATGTTCCTTTAACGAAAATTCTGATCCATCTGAATTTAATTTAAAAGGAAATTTAATCAGACATGTAACTGTTCTCTTGCCAATCAGATTTTATTTTTAGGGCCGTTGGGCATTACAGGCATGGCCATGTGACTTCCTGTTGTGGATCCAGGCCCGTCTTTAACGCAGGGCAAAAGGGTCAGTTGCCCTGAAGTATCTGTGCAACCCTAGCTCTGATCCCTGTGCTTTGAAAAGAGACAGAGCCACAGTGCCCTGCTCCTCCCACACTACTGGATACTACTCAAGGGACACATTTGCAAGTGACAGAGCGGGTGTTTTATCAAAGTTTGTGACTATGTTGGAATGTGTGACCGGTGACGTGGTCACACATTACAACGTAATCCCGCTCTGTTTGACAGCGATGGAATGTGTGACCGCCTATCGGGTCAAGCATTCCAACGCTTTGTCAACTGTTCCAGGGGAGATCGGCATACTGCGCAAGTGCAGGAGAACCGATCATATCTGCGTAGAACAACTAATCGGTCTGAAATGTCACTTCTATCGGACTTTGTGAATGCCGCAGAGGGGGGTGGTTCACAAACAGTAACTGCAGGAGTATTACAATCAGCGAGCACCGCAGATATATTTTTTATTGTCACACTCCTTAAGTTACCGGGCCAATCATTTAACACAAATATAAAATAAATAAATTGATTTGGGATGTTGGGGTGGAGAGAGAAACTGCATGGCAGTTAGCGGGCTTGGTTAGCGGGCCCAAGAAAATGTTTGCCCAGGGTCCAATCATTATCAAAGACGGCCCTGTGTGGATCTTTCCACAACAGGAACTTATCCACAACGGACTTATACGAAATCCAAATAACGAACTGGATTGAATTTCGGATCCGAAAACCATAACAATAAAGAAATAAAAATCCGAATCGATCCAAAACTAAACAAAATGATTTTTTTGCAGGGTCTAGTGAGCATTTATTTTATTTTACAGAAGCAATTTGCATACTGTTTATTTTTCTGCTAAATTACTTTTTTCTAAAGTTCCTGATTTGAATGTTAAGGTTTTCATATCACAGAAGAAAGGAAAGACCCATTGTATTTTATCAGTGTCTATCTTTTCTTCTGACGACAGCACAGTCTAAATAATGTGAGCATCGCTAAATCAGGCCAATTTACAAAACCAAAAGTGCAAACTTTTGCATATAAAAAGCTGACTCCTCTATGAGCACATACATGCTGGATTGTCAAGTGAGACCCTTTCCTCTGCGATGTAGTTTTCTGAACATTTTCCCATGCAAACTGCCTGCCTGCACACACTTCGGAATGCTTAAATTCCAGAAAGTGCACAAAACTGTAATAGGGAGTAGTGATGAGCCTGAGTTTGGAGTGAACCTAGTTCACCTGAGTTCTCCCAAGCCCATTTAAAACCAACACCCTTCTCCTGGCCCAATCAGTTGTTACATGCACATTTCCTATGCGTGGAATGCCCGGCAGCAACAGTGGCCACTGATTGGTCTGGGAGTAGGGCGGTGGCGGTCACAGTTTTGAGTGGTGTAAACTCAGACGAACTGGGTTCTCACCAAGCCCAGGCTCATTAATAATATGGAGGAGAGGGCTCCTGGAAGGTTATTTTTGGCCTTTCAATGATGCAGTTAGACAGGTTGTCAGGTATACTACATTACCTACCAATTTGGGCACAATTATATAACTTAGAATACAATTTGAAAAATCAATAATGATGGGTAAAATGTTAATGAAATTAAGAAAAATGTATAAAAAAAACCACAAAATACTTACACAAAATACATGACTTATGTCTGTGCTGCCTAGCCTACCATGTCGGGATTGGGCTGCATCAAATAAGACACCATCCAAAAACTATTTAGGTATGTTACACGTAAATTGACAAGAATACGGACATGGATTTAAAGGGTTTCTAAATCCTCAGCTTTTTTGAATATATCTACTGCTGGCAAGCAGTAGATATATGCAAAAAGTTTTTTAAAAAAATAAAACGCTTTAACAGCGGTATTAAACTTACCTGTGTCTTCCCCGCGCGCTCCCGAACGAAAATGTGAAACTTCCGCAAAGCATCTTGGGGTGGGTGCATGCGCAGATCACGTTTTCGGCCAGGAGGCGAGGAGAGACGCAAGGTAAGTATATTGACGCATTCACCCGCATGCAGACACCATGGGACAGGAAGTGCCAGCAAGCTCAGAAGAGTCAGCGCTGGATCTGAGACTCGCCGCAGCGCTGGAGAGAAGGCTGAAAACTACAGGAAAGAAGAAGATCGGATTAAGAGACATCATTTAAGGTAAGTGCTTTAATTAACGTTGGGGTGAGGGGGGGAAAAATTGCCTTTAATGTCACTTTAATGGCAAGTAATATAGGAAAACTGTATCTCCCTAAACTTCCAAAACTCCATTCCTTTAAGCAAGTAAAACTGAGCTGTCTTTAGTTCCACCCTAAGCATAACACCTAAAACTCATTCATGAATCTGACACAAAACACATGTGATACAAGTGTGAACTTTTAAATTGAGGCATTTCATACGCAAGCAATTAAGGCTTTTCATCACATCTGATGCATCCAGAGCGAGAACACTATAGTGACTGCATATATATCTATAGCTCTATATCTATATAGAGCTATAGATATATTCATTATATATCTATATCTCTATATCTATATCGAGATATAGATCGAGATATAGAGATATAGATATATAATGTATATATCTATATCTCTATATATATAATTTTGTTATGATTTTTCAGACACCCCGTACTACATAGAGCCTTGTGAATACTGTAGATCCTCAAATCATCTCTGAATTGGTGCTGACACTGTCCTTCCTTTTGGAGTGTGGCTGCTTTGGTTCCCCATGGTTCCTGTGTGTGTTGTAAAGTAGCCACCACTCCGAGCTTACTTGTGTAATGACTATAACTTCAATACAAATTAGTAAACTAACCATGAAATTGTAGTCCATCATGGGAGTGAGCTTGGAGCGGTGACTACCTTACAACACACACAGGGACCATGGGGAACAAAAGTAGCCACCCTCCAGACGGAAGGACAGTGTAAGCACCAATTCAGAGATGATTTGAGGATCTACAGCCGAGTGATACACAAATAAGATAAATTTTTGTTAATAGTTAAGGTACTTTAATGCATTTTTAAGATTTAACGCCTGAGTTTAGTGTCACTTTAAAACAGTATGTATTTTTCATGTGAATAATCACAACTCAATTGTTAGATAATATTTGGTTGTTAATGTAAGGTAAATACTAGTTACACGAGATAGACCAGCTTACCTGTGTATAACTCAACGGGAAAGCTGGGTTCACTTGCGCATAGACTGTTAACAGCTGTTATTATGACATCATACGCCTGTCCACATGGCAGACTGCTGATCACACAACCAACCTCCGTGCTGTTACATACAAGATACTGCTGGGTAGGAGTTCTCAGCACTGAAAGATAGCTCAAAGCTCCCGGAGCTGCATCCCAACTCACATGTGCAGCTGAGTCAGAACAGTTCATCTTAGTAGCCACATTCTGAGGCTGGCAGGGGGCTGAAATGATATGAAATAAAATGATAACAAACTCAGTTTCAAAAGTCATCTCAATGATTGTAATCACAATGTGGTAAAAACATATTGGGACATATATAAAATATTGATTCAAAAACTGAAAAAAGTGATCCTAACATGAGTCACTTCAGGAACATATGACTTACATTGAAATGGCCATACCAAGGTCATGGTTGCAGCATCATTGGTACTGTTTTTTACAGCAGGTGGAGGGCTTTTGAGTACAAATGATCTGGGCAGCTTTACAGCTGCCCAGCTTTACAAATGATCTGGGCAGCTTTACGACCTGTATGTATGCTGCACCCCAACCATGGTTTCCAGGCTCTCCTGTTCCTCTGGGGCCCGGGACTGTGGCAAATACACTCAGGATGGAGAGTGGGAGAAGACCAAGGAATGTCTGTTCCTTAATCTGCTCTGTGACCGCTTCTAATAGTAAGCTATTAGAAGCAGAGCTGTCAAAAACTTGGCTGAAGTCCCAGTTACACAGGAAATCAAACACAATCCTGTGCTTGATCATCTGTATTGGAGGGCAAGGGAGACATCAGGGGTCTAATAAAGAGAACCTGTCACCTCCAAATGCTATCACATAGTGGCTTGTTAGTCCTCTTAAAAAGTTAAAAAAAAAAAATAATAAAATGAATAAACAGTTAAAAAAAATCAAGCAACCCCATCACTCCAGGTATCTGCTTGTGAATGCAAATGCGCCATACATGATAGGTATCGCTGCAAATGTCAGAGTGAAAGCAATAATACTAGGGCCATTATTCACAGTTAACTCTAAAATGATGAGCAGTAAAGGTTTTAAAGTGCCACCTATAGACAATTTTGAGTATCATAGTTTTTCACCATCGCAATTTTACGGCTTAACATGTTTGATATCAATTTTGTTGGCGTAACCTCATCTTTTATATTTTCAAAAAAAATTGGGTATTATATTGTGTTTGTGAGCACTAAAACTAATTTGAGTGTATTTCTACCTAAAAATCGATTTGATAAACATTTTCACATATATTGTGCGACATAAAAAAATGCAACTGCTTTTCAAAAATACATTTGTTTGGGGGTTTAAAGTAATTCAGATGTTCAGATTTTATGTGTGTAAAAAATAAAAATTGCTCTGGTACTAAAGTGGTTAATATAATAGACATGAGTCTTTATTACCAAAATTATCAAATCATTTTTATAACGAAAACTTACCAGTTATAAGTGTAGTTGGATGAGCAATTGGACCTGAACACTGAGCATTGATAGCCGTAACTGTCACAATGTATATCTGCCCGCACTTCAGATTATCAATACTGCAACCCGTGTCCTCTGTATGGCAGTAGAGGCTTTCAACTCCTGGGTTGGTGACATTTGCCATATAACTTATTGCACCTGCAGTTCTACTCCAGGATAGTGACACAGAATCGTTGTGGCAAATGATTTGTGCTGGGTCCAGCACTGGGATGCAGGGAGCTGCAAAAACCAACACATTTAGTTTTACATGCCATTCAGATATACAGAAACATCTAAAACATGAATATATGTTAAATATGTTTGGTGAATAGTGATACCACCAAACCTTCATCTTTGGAAAGCCTTATAAAACTATGTGCAAGCAAATCTGTGTCTTGTCCATTCAGGGAAAAGTAACAGGTTTGCTTCACCCCTTCCCAGCACAGTGGAAGTCGAAGGAGATTACCTGGGACTTCCACCTATGGAGAAGCATGTGACACTTAGTGGTCTGTTTATAAACAATTTGATTTGCATGTTTGTTCTGTGCAGATATATGCCAAAGCGAACATTTTTAGTTTCTTTTTACAAGGCAATGTACATTATTTCTAGATGTTTTTATTTTCATGTAATACCACATTATGGGCACTAGATGGTGATGAAGAGCATAGAAAATAAATGCTTATTCGGTGCTTTTCCATGCTCATCAGGGCCATCTATTGGCCATAATGTGGTATTACACAAAAAACATTTGAGAATATATTGCCTTGTAAAGAAACAACTAAAGAATGTAAATTTTTGCATATATCCACACAGATCAAATGTTCATAGATGCTTGCAGAGTGAAGGGCCTTGTACAACATTTATAAATAGACCCCTTAAAGTGTATGTATAGGCTAGATTTATTTCCTCAGAAAGTATCGCCTGCCTCACTTTAGTTACGCAGTGGTCCTTCTGTATAACTTACATGGTTGTTTATTGCTTCACTCAAATCCCTCATTAATTATAAACTCCATCCTTGCTTCCTGTCCTTTGGTAACACCAGCTCATACCAGGAGCATGTCTATCACCTGGGAGTGTTTATGCAAATATTGTGTGACGTGCGTCCCGTAGATGTAGCACCTGCATTTGATGATCAACATAATAGACATCACCATCCCATTTGTTTTCCTGTTTATACACAGCAGTGTCCATTATGTGTATCATGCTCACCACTCATGCATGCACACTTGTGCTCAGCCTCTATCCTCAATGGAAGTCATAGTTTTATGTGGCAAGTCACATATATGATTCTGAATATGCACCCACGGTGCACAAGCCCAGAAGTGGAGGTGGAAACATGTATAGAGGTTAGTTTAGAGATGTTTTAAAATCATATTTGGGGGCAGTGTTTAAAAAATTAGCACCAGAGTGTAATAGACGGACACTGCGGGGACCAGGTAGGGGTGGCCGTCGCTTACCGGCGCAGACGCATCGCGGTTCGGCCGCCTCAGCTTACCATCGGAAACAGGTGAGCTCTGGTGCGGCTCTCCGTAGTCGCCTCGCGCAGGCGCAGCACGGGCCTCCGTCATCTCTCCCTTCAGAGCCGTCTACGTCGGGCGCAGGCGCAGGGAGAAGCTCCGCCCCTTCGAGACGCAGCACTCGGCATAAAGCCGTGGTCCGGTAGTTGATCGGCGTCTTTCTGTTAGTAGTGGAAGGACGCTGATCAACTCAGCGCTCCACTCGCCTCAACGCCGTGAGACCCAGTGCTTCTAAGCACCCTTGTTCCAGCGACCAAAACCGCAAGTAGACTTGGCTATTTCAGAGTAGTGGGCAGAGCCAATGCTCCTGCCCTATGTGAACCCATGCTGACTATTGATTGCTTGTGTGCATATCTACAGTAACCATTGCATTGCTACCAGTTAACCTGGGATAACTATTGACTGTTACGTACTAACCTCTGGGAAAATCGATACATTGCTATCCATTGAACTAGTGAATACTACTGCCTGTTTGTACAGATCTCCATTAACCATTGCATTACAATCCAATGAACCAGTGATTACCATTACCTGTTTGTACA